CATTTTGCTTTTGGAAGGTGCACAGAGCATCTACCTGTAGAGAACATACAGCTCCCTTTACAATGAAAGGATCGCAACCTCCCATATACCCAACAGGACAGATGTGAAAATCCTGAGGCAACTCTTTCTAAGACCAAGCAGAATTCAAGCAATAGCTTGAAAGGCAGAACAGGCAGGTAGCTGCTTTCACCAGTCACAAAATGTACACGTCTTTTAGAAGCGTCCAAGGCTACTGCCTGCTCTCCCACCGCTGCGTGCTGGAATGGCCAGGAGGCTTTGCAAAGCAGCCTGTCTCCCCCACGTCAGTGGTTTTTTAACACACTGAAAATCTATCACCAAGTGAAAACTCACCTTGGAAGCAAGGTGTCTTACAGAATCACCTGTTTGATTCTGGAATTCAGTACTACCAGGACAAGTCAGAGTCTTTGTTGTACTGGAACCACTTGTTGGAGGAGCAGATGGGGGTAACCGACTCAAAGGAATCTCCTGACAGGAGTCACCACCTATTTTTAAAAGACAACAAATATTAAAGAGACCAAATTTGCTGATAGCAAATGGTTTTATAGGAAAAAATCATAAAGGAATATCTTTACTGCTAGAGTAAAAATGAGAACTGAACAACAGTATTAAAAGCAGCCTGCAACTAGTCTGATAAATACAAGCTCGTATCTGCAACTTCACAGCTTTAAAACAATTCAACTGACTTTTAGATCAAAACTATAGAATTGCTGAAAGCAAAATCATGCCGACTTGAAGAGTTTCCTTATGAAAATAATACATGTGATGACTGATTTGAACTAATACTTATTATATGACTGAAGTCTTGGGAAATACAATTTCTCCTTCTTATTATTTGATGTGTCAGCAGGGTAAGTAGCAGTAATGACAGTCACACCAGCCTTCCACTAACATGGGGACTGGACTGGTCAGGTGACAGAATCCTATGGATCCCAGCAGAGGACAGAATGGGTTTCTCCATAGCTTTATTCTTGCCTCTACTGAAACTCTACGGAAAACGTGTGGTATTGAAAAGCGTGTGGTACACAGTGGGGAAGAAACAGGTCACTCCTCTCTTTCCAAACTAACAGGAGAACAAGCTACTATAGTCACGCTACCAGCAGAGTTTAGCATACGCTCTGCCTGAAGAAGGAAGAGCTTCTACATATTGTCTGCATTTTACCATCTTTTTGAAGGGCTGAGCCCATGCTATATTATGTAGAAGGTATTTGTCGAAGCACACAATTTTAACAGTCTATTCTTTCCTCACTGGAGGAAACAAGTATTTGCCAAGGAGTTGATGAGGCCTGACCACCTTAAGCCAGTAAAGCAAACAACAATCTGACTGTTGTTACCAGTACAGTAATCCAAACAAGTACTCAGAAAAGGAACGTACTTTTGGGGGATGAATTAGGGCTGTTTGAAGCTATTTGCCTCATGCGACCTCCATGGCAGCTCAGTGCCACCAGCCGTGAAATAACTGCAGTCTTCCCAAATCCTACGTTTCCAGTAATGACTGCTCCTCTGTTCTCTGCTGGATCAGGATTCTTCAGGTTTTCTTCAATCGCTTGAAACAGCCATTCTCTTCCAACAAACACCGAGTCTGTTGTTATACTTGGAACTTCAAACAACAGTGGCTTCAGCAAAATGTCTTGAGGCTTATAGGGGACAAAACGAGCTGAAAAGAGACGGCAGGGAGAAAAGTTTCTTAGAAGAAACTCGACATGCAACAAACTAGCACTGTTTCAGAAGATCATTTCATTCAGCATCCTTGTTATTTGTATTTGTAATCAGACTTCTTATGACTTTTATCATGAAAACAATAAAAAGTGATTTGCTCAGTTCAGGTCACCTCCATAACTCCTATGTGAATTAAACTGTAGAGGAGGGAAGCTACAGGTATAATCTCAGGATTTCTTTACAATGGAACCTGAGTTAATAAGTTGCAGAATCCAAAAGTTTTCTTAAAAATACATTAATAATTCTATAAATGGGGAAGTGCCAAACATTTTTCAGTTTAGAGTGAACTACACTGCTGAGCATCTCAGCATCAGGTGTTCAGACCTGTAAAGACAATTACAGAGAAACAGAAAAAAGTACAGAAAATAAATTTTTCTGTTTTAAAAACCCCCATATTTTTAAAGCAACGTAAAAAAAATATTATTTCCCTGTTTTTCTGTACTTTTGAAGCCACAAGAACAGAAATTACCCAACAGAGCTAAAAGTGTAATCATGTTTGATTACTTTAATCTCTACATCTGGCGAATACCTGACAAGATTTATAGAGAGAAGAATTTGGGTTTGCTTGCACAAAATTCATTATTATTTCTGTAAATTTTCATGTCTACTAATACAATGTTCTAAGGATTCATTAATCAAATCTAGTATTTCACAAATGTTATTTCAGCATTAATCTACAACTATGAAAAAACATAAATGAAAGAGGACAGCATAGCATCTGTATATGATCTCTCAAGATCAGTCTTACCAGGAATTTGCTTAAGTTTTTCTGGTTTGAATTGTTATTGGTTGTGACAGATGCAGCTGACTCCTTGCCCAAACTAGCGGCACTTTGGTTCAGGCTCCAACGGAGGCAAGGGCCTAAGCCGCAGCCCGGCCAAGAACTGCTCTAGTTCCAGTCTGCTCTCTGGAAACCCGCGAAGGAGCCGAGCGACACCGTGAGCATCGAGGTCTGTGAGCCCGGAACTCGGGTCACATGGTCAGCACACGCCTAGCAGTGGCTCTTCCACGGCTCACATATCCAGGCACAACGGCAGATGGGGGCACAAGCAGTCTCACGCGTGCCTTTCCCACGGCACGTAACCTGACTACGAGCCAACCGCCTTATTCCATAAAGACAAGAGCCTGCGGGAGCCTTCACCGAGCTCTCCCTGCTCAGCAGCGTGGCAGCACGGCAGGGACCTCCCCTCCAGCTGGGATGCCCCTCAAGGTCGCCCCGCGAGGCAGGCAGACCTGGCACCAGTGGCAGATTTTTAGCAGGTGACCGATATGGCACATAACCTTGGGTTACAGTGCACTAGGATTTTGTCTTGGTAACTTTGATTTTTGTCTTGGTAACTTGGTGTCACTGTTCTATCCTCTGTGCAGTAAGTGACAGAGTGAGCCCTGCCACTGAACTTTGTTAAGTCTCACTTTCACGACATCATGTTTCAATAAAATCACTTTTGCTGATACTCTTGACAGTGGTTCTTAAGTGGTCTAAAGCAGCCACTTGCAACACTGGTAAATTAACAGAGCCTGCATATGACTAAGTTAGTTAAGAGGAGGAAACAAAAAATTGCATACATCACTTGCATTTAACATAAACCTGCTATTTTCAGACTCAGAGACCAGAGACATTGAAGCCCATATTAGTCATAAATATGTCTAGTGGTATTAGATCAGTTTTCTTCTTAAAACAGAACTCTAATGACAGCCCCTTGAAGATTTAAATTCAGCACAGTATTTCTTGAGTTGCAGTACAGTCTTATCTGAATGTCACATGATAAAATCCAGCAGTCAAGTAAATGTTCAGCACAGTTCCTGAACACTGGTATTACACAACTTTGCTTCGAGATTCACATGGTCTGCACTGCACTGCCCATGCACACTTAGATAAACAATATCCTGATTTCTTATTAAAAACCACACATTCAACTTCTAAACCACAGCATGACGTGGAAAAAGTGTAAGCGAGCATCTTATTTTAAGGACATGCTGAGTGATCTGTCAAACACAGTCTGAAATACCACTTTGTGGGATGGGTGTGTTCACAGAGATCTCAGAACATCCACGTTACACAACTACGGCAGAACTGTACTGACCACGCCAAGACAGACGCAGATGTAAATATGTATACCTTTACTTTCCTGTTGCACTCTTCCGCCAGCAGTGTTGTGCCAAGGTAAGCGAATTGAAGTGCGTAAAGGAGCATTTCTTTGTCCATCCAAGTAGCTCAGATCTTCCAGTTTGGTTGAACTTGTTGCTGCAGTATTAAAGGATTGAAGCTTATTTTTCTCTCAGCACAAGTTACAAAGAACTCTATTATTTATTACAGTTCTTTCTTAAACATAGTACTTACAGATAAGTTTATCTAGACAATGGCAGTGGTTGAAGTCATTAATGTTATAATATTTACAGAATGGTTTTCAATCAAGTTTATGAAAGACATAGTTAGATTTTTCCCCTTTCAGATGGCCCTCACATCTGCCTTAACTTCCTCACACGCCAAACAGTTCTCATGTTAACACAGTTTCCTTTTCACTATGAGAACAATCATTATCAGCGAGGTCAGAAGTGTTAGGAACAGGTTCAGATACTAGCTGCTAGTACACTAACTGTGGGTAAGTATTTACATTCTTTTTTTATCGAATGTTACAAGAATTTTGGATAACATTTTTTATTTTCTTCAATTTTTAAACCAAAATGACAGCTATACAAAAAAAGAGCTGAAAATCCAGAGAACATATTTGCCAAATTATATCAGGGATATATAGTTTTTCACCAGAAATAAACCAAATGAGTATTCATGTTAAGCAAAGCTGTTTTCAAATTTTTATCAAATCAAAAATCTTCCATCTGTTGGAGGGACAACACAGCATGGCACAAGCAACTGAGACTTCTGGAGTGCACTGAGAACAACTTCCTGACTCCCGCAACTGAGAAGCCAAAAAGGAACGACACTCTGTTGGACTCAATCCAAACAAGGAAGAACTTGTCATAGATGTGAAAGCTGGGGGCAGTCTTGGCTGCAGTGACCACGAGATGGTGGAGTTCAGGCTCCTAATACGAGAGAGCAGAGCAAAAAGCAGGGGCACACCTCCAGATTTCAGGAGCACGGACTTTAACCTCTTTGGATTTTTGCTTGGAAGAATCCCATGGTGTATAGTCCTGGAGAGAAGAAGGATCCAGAAGAGCTGGCTGACACTCAGTGATAACCTGATAACCTCCTGGAGCTCAAGACAGGCCATCCTGACCAGCAGGAAATAAAGCAAATATGGCAGGAGGCCTGCATGGATAAGCAAGGAGCTCTTCAGTGAACACAGGCTGGATGGTGCTTTGAGCAACATCTTTTAGTGAAAGATGGCCCTGTCCACAGCACGGGGGTTGGAACTAGGTGATATTTAAAGGTCCCTTCCAGCCCAAACCATTCTGTGATTCTATGATACTGTAAGATGATGACTGGCTTGGTGGATGGGGGGAGAGCTGTGGAAGCTGTCTCCCTCGACTTTAGTAAGGCTTCTGACACTGTCTCCCGTAACACTGTCATGGACAAGCTGATGAAGTACAGGTTACGGAAGCGCACAGTGAGGCAGACCCAGAACTGGCTGAATGGACGGGCACAGTGTTGTGACCGGTGGCACACAGCCCGGCTGGAGCAATTCATTAGCGCTGTACTCCTGCAGTCAACACTGGGTCCAACACTGTTTAACATCCTCATTAACGACCTGCACGATGGGACAGACTGCAAATCACCACATGTGCAGATGATACAAAACTGAGAGGAATGGCTGATACGCCAGACGATTGTGCTGGCATTCTGATGGACCTTGACAGGCTGGAGAAATGGGCTGAGTGGAATCTCATGAAGTTCAACCACGGGAAATTCTTCCAGCTGAGAAGGGCTAACCCCAGACACCAGTATGCAGTGGGGCTGACAGGCTGGAAAGCAGCTGTGCAGAGACGGACCTCCGGGTCCTGGTGGCAAACAAGTTGACCATAAGACTGCAATGGAGCCTTCAGGCAAAGGTGGCCAGCAGCATCCGGGGCTGCACCGGGAAGAGCATTGCCAGCAGGTTCGGGAGGCAATCCTCCTCCACTCACCACTGATGAGACCACATCTGGAGGGCTGTCTCCAGTTCTGGGCTCCCCAGCAGAAGAAATATAGACTTACTGGGTATTAACTGCGTATCACCTCTTCCGAGGGTAACGCAGGGAAGTCAAAACTACCTATCCAAGTTGCAAGATGCAAATGCAGTTTGCAGTGGGTTGTTCAGTACTCAACTAGCAGAAAGTCCAGCCTGAAAATTCAAGTCCTGTCAAATTCACAGCAATGAAAGAAATCCTGAATGCAATGAATGAATACTAAACCAATGAAATGAAAGAATGACTAGAAAGAGAGCCAGTGCCAAAAAAAGCCAATGCTCTCGTGGATGTCAATTTAAAAATATGAGAGGCTGGGCAGAATTCCTTTGCATTGAACCGGGAGGGAGGTCTCAGGTTTAAATTGAGCTTGTTCAGCTTTGAAGAGAGATGGCTAAGGCAGCAGCTTACTGTCACTCTTCACCTAAGAGGAGGCCACACAATCAGACTCTTCTTGCAGGGGCACAGTAACAGGGTAAGAGACAATGAACATAGGTTGGAAGATGGCAAATTCACACTAGACATACAGGACAAAAAATTCACTGAGGATACCCAAACAAGCTGCCCAAAGATGCAGGGGAATATTCATGCTTGGAATTACTCAATACTCAACTGAACAAGGCCTTGAGCAAACTGTTCTAATTGGATGTGCTTCCAGTAAGACAGTGGAGCAGAAATCTCCAGGGGCCCCTTACAATCTAAAGTAGTCTACGCTTTTTTAACATTCAGAAAACTCAGGCACTCATGAGTCGAAGAGAAGCCAAAGCCAAAGTCTGGGGATCTGTGTTTCAGACAGCTGTAACAACGAAAGGGCAGTTATTGCAGTCCTCTTTGGCAACAAAGCCATTTAGTTCAGAGTGAAATTCCCCAAAATTTATGCAGGAGTGCTACAATATCTGTCAAAAGAAGGTGGTTGCTGCTTCCTCCCCAGTCATGTCCCAGAGTCAGCAAAACTAGAGTCCGTCTCCAAAAGGCACTAGTTTTAAAGGGACACACAGATCAAGTACGTGGAAAAAAACGTGAGTCACTCACAAGCAATACAAATGCTCCAAATGATAACCAGAGCAGAACACATGAACTTGGCATATGATGCAGAGCTGGAATATCATCTTCGTCACACTCATGAACTACAAACGTTTTCTTCAGGAAGAGAATAATGCAAGACAAAAAGAAAAGCAGGAGCATGGCATGGTTACAGTCGACCTTGAACTTCAAAATCGGAAGTGAGATGTAATAAAAGGGGAAGCAGTAACAGCAAGACACAATTCAATGACTCCTGCAACACTGCTGCTTCTCTAGCAGGGACTGGAGGTGTGACAACTTCCAATCCCACACCCATCTAGGAAAAATTTCTTCAGGCACCCTTATCTGCAAGGATACTGCATGTTAACTTCTTGCACGTGTAGCACAAGTACCCCTTTTTTAAAGAGGGATATACAGCATTGGCACTCAAAAGCCAGAGAACAGTCATTTACAGGTTAAATGCACAATACATTTCACAAAAATCTGTAGCCCAAATCTCTGCACTATCAGATACCTAAGATCAGCATACTACAGTCCTTTGATGTGGGACATTTCGCAGAGAGCATTAACTTTTCAGCACTATAGCTCAGCTCATTCAATAGGCAAATTTCAGATAAATCAAGCTACTTTCAAAGCAGACTCCAAAATTGTTTCTAACATTTGTAATTTTGTAACTACACAAAATACTTAGAGATGTGCAAATTCATCACCGTAGTTTGCTGCTGTCCACTGCAAGGCGTTCACTTTTGTCAGCAGGGTGACTCAAACACAGCAGAAAGCCAGAAAGCTTTGTGCTGTGACAACAGCAGTTTTACAGAGAACCACGGTACACTCTCTCCCCCTCTAAAGCTGGGCATTATTGTATTCAGATCATAGTATGCTGCTGCAAAATAATCCTTCAACAGCAGAATTCTGAAACAACGTGCTAATAACTTTCATGGCATTTTAAAATGTCAAATTACCTTTATTAAGACTGCAGTGTGTGCTTCAGTATCTCTCACGACACTTCATGTCATGCGTTTAAGTGCTCAAGGCCAGGCTGCACAGGGCTTGGAGCAACCTGCTCCGGTGGAAGGGGGCTGGAACTGGGTGATCTACAAGGTCCCATCCAACCCAAACCGCCCTGTGATTCTATGATTCGTGAAGCATTCTAAATGTAGGACTGCGGTTTTTTTAAAGCATTGGATTTTGGCTATTACTGACAAGTCTTCAGTTCTTGATAACATTTACTGAGCTGTATATTAGCATCTTTTTCTGTTGTAATTCCAATGTATTATCATTTGTCGGACTTTTCTGGAATAAACACATTATATACTTTCTTTGAAAATGAAATGGAGAATATCTCTTTTTTTTTCCTCCCAGCTGAACCAGTGTTTCTGCCTTCACAATAAAAACACAGAACTAGTGCTCATGTAACAATCTATAACCTTCCAAAATTTACAGTGATATTGTCAGAACTTAAAGATTCTTTACAAGATTGCTGGCATGTTCTTTGCCAAAATTTTGCCATTGACAATTTCAAAAGTAGGTTTCCTAGCAACATTTCCCCTACACATCTTGTCATACTAAGAAAATTCTATGTACCATTTTTTGCTTCACCTTTTCTACTAAAGATACTCCATTTACTGACAATATTTTCTAGATGGAATGAAGTATGATATCCTCCCCTTCCCTCTAGGAATCACCAACTCCCAAGCCCTAACCTCATTACTGAAGTTTTCCTCACTCTGCATTTACCAAGTTTTTTAACTCTGAATTTTTAGTTAGCCAAACCTACTGCCATCTGTATGGCACCCCATGCTTCTGAACACTATCAGAACATTTTTCTTGCAGGGTTATATTTATGCAAGTGAATTGCTGATTACTACTAGAATTTGAAGGGCTCTACTAATAGATTTCAAGCCAGAAGTGCTTTTTCAGAGCTTCACCTATTTCACAACACTTAGAAAAATAAAGGTAAGGTCACATATGTATCCCTCACAGCTGAACAGACTCACATTTTCTGAATGAATGGTTCAACAGGAATGCAGAATTTCACACAGTTCTTTAAAAAACATACACATCACTTGCTCAACAGAGATCAAAGTATGATTGTGGTCTTGGTTTCAGTCAGATTTACAGATTTTGCAAATGTGAGCATACACAAAAACAACAACCTCAAGGATTAGCTAACAGCAGACACATTCCTAGAATGACTGATGGACTTTTGAAGTGTTCCCAAAGTCCTGACCTAATCAAAACCTACTAAAAAGCATGATAAATGCCCTCTATATGATAATTTTAAACAACTTAGGTAATGCTTATCTTTTCACTTTAGAACCTACGCTCTTTTCTTTTTGTCCTATAAAAATACTTCCATATGAACAACATAACGTCACCAGGAAAATTCAACAGAATTGTCCTATCATTAAGAACATCCTTTTTTTCTACCTCAGGACTTTACCTGCAACGGAGTTTGGACGAGGCATTATTAAAGAGCCAGAACTTTGAGCGTAAGGAACGGGACCCTCTCCTGTTGGTACTTCTTTTGGCAAATTCTCAGCAGACCCAACAGCCTCCTCTTCTGCAACTGGTGAACAATTATCTGTTCTTCGATCATGATTAATCCCTTGATGTTTTCCAGCTCTGAGACTCCCATCCTTGCTCCATTCCAAACTGGATCCACTACGATCATCATTTTCTGATGAACTTGTTATAGTTGCTGAAAAATCGAGAAACAAACCCAGCTAAACTATACATCAGAGATAAATGGCACACTCAATATGTGTTACAATTTTCATACTCCAATAGCACTTTGGGCCAGCAGATACTCAAGTATTTCTTCACTGGACATTTTGTTGAATTTAAGGAATATCATCTTTTATCTAAAAGAGCCAAACAACACAGATTTGCAGATTCGGAAAAACACCTGAGAAAAGAGGCAAGAAAATGTTCTGAAGAATCCAGGTATATCTTTAGAGCTACGTAATTTGTGCTGAGCAAAAAAAACCAAAAAACAACCAACCAAAACATCTATGACTTTATATGAAGAATCTACTACTTCACCAAAACATGTCTCAACTTCTTTTAAAAATTAAAATTCTAGAACATCTTGCAAATTGGCAAACAATTCTGTAAGCATAGAGACAAAAAAGGCTCATTAAGAAGTAAAAATAGCATCTGGAGCAAGAAAACAGTTTAAATTCATCTTTTTGATAATTCACACTTTTAAAGACTAGTATTTTACAAAATTCAAAATTCAATTCTTTAAAAAAACTTGCACATTTCTCCCAAAGTTGGGAGGCTTTCCACAAGCCTACCTGTGACCAAACATCCCACGTACTGTGAAGCATAAATGATACCAGTTCAATGTTGTTTGGAGATCTAGCTCATCCAGCATGGACAGCTTGGCTACATTCGGATGACAACCATCCTGCACTCTCACATACCTGCCGAGCTGATCCGGACAGCAAGCTCACAGCAACTGAGCTACATACTACTCCTTTCTTAAGTACTTACCACATTTCACTGTCAGAAAGAGCATACAGGGCTAGATGCATGTTTGATCACACCCAGAAGAGTATATGAACAAAATTTCTAGGTTATATTAAACATACCGATTTAGGTTTTTACAGTATTTCAGTGTACTGCAGTACACAGTAAATCAGAGGCTCAACTTTCTTGTTTGTTTGTTTCTGATGTCATTATAAACCAACCAGAAAACATTTACAAATGATTTCTCAATACTTTGTGAAACTTTTTAGCAGCAAGATGTGGCTTTTTCTACGATGAAAATTTCAGATGCTCTAAAATAAGCAACACAGAACTAGACAGACCCTCAGCTAAAAGACAACTGAAGACCACACTGGGGGTTCTGGATGCTGCATTACAGAACAGTAGTTTTCCAATGCTGTAGTGATTTGCTCGATGAAAGCTGAAACAACACTAACTACATTACCTAGAGTGCTCCAAATACCTCGGCTTGATGGCTGAGGGTTATTAGAGTGCATCTTTAGTTCCTCAAGATTGCAGTTAATCAACGCCTCCTGAAATAACTGAAGGCGTGAAGAATTTATACTACCAAAAATAATGTTTGATAAAACTACGTTAATGTACTCGCATAAGCACACTTTGCAAATATATACTGTTTTTTCTATGTTTAATAGTGAAATGACTCTGTTTCATTTAAAACCCTTTCAGTACTTAAACTCTCACACAATAACTGAACAACATATATTTATGCAAGGTTAAGCCAACGCTCAGTGCGTTTTGAACACTTGAAAGTTCACCTAAATCAATGAGAACAGCATACCTGCATGACATAATCACTCAAAATTATCTTGGAAACAGTTAGGTCTAGACTAGAAACCAAATAAACCAACTGATGAGTGGAAATAAAACATGAAGAAAAAAAAATAAGAAGCTTGTTAATTCAGGAAAAGTGGTAGTGTGGTTTCTGTTTTGGTTTGGGGGATCTTTTTTTGTTTCATTTTTTTCAGGAAGAGAGGTAAGAAAACTTAAAAACTTCAGGTAATGTTTAAGATTACTCAGTTATAGATTTCTGTGATTCTTACCTTGACCCAGCTTCTAAGACAATGTATTTCATTATAACTGCTAGTTTACATATGAATGTATGCAACAAAGAAAAATACAAAATAGGATGAAAGGGCATCAGGAGAAAAAAAAAAAAAAAAAAAAACCCACCCCAATGCGAGCTCAAATAATAATATCTATGTGAACTGTGGGTCCTTCCCAGGCTAAAATTCTAAATATTAAAGGTACATATGTGATGATTCTACACGCCACTGACCAAACCATTAAGTAAAACATTCCGGTCTACCAGAGCGCAAATGCAGAGAGTGCTCCTTCGAGCTCTGAGGCCCATCTGCCCAGAGGAAGCACCAGCAGCTCTTCTTCCACACCAGCGGCAGGGCATCTACAGCCTTGCAGGATGACGAGGTACTCGTACAACTTTGCCTTCTTCCAGCTTAGCATTAGCCTCATATTCACAAGAAACTTAAGATCTGATGGTTAAACTCAAGAGCTTGTATTCTAAGAAATACCAGCAATACGACACACATTTTAGAAGCTACGACACACATTTTAGAAGCAACAGAAGAAAAAGCTTTTCAGGCATTCCATTAACCTCTGCATGCAGCTTAGACTGTTCTTCCGTATGACAAATTTATTTCATTCTCATGGTTGTGTCAAAAAAATCTGGCTCCTCCTGAAGTACGAAATATTTAAAACCACGATTCCTCCTGGAGTGAAATGTAGCATCAGGAAACCTTGCTGCTCAAGATTTCCATATTGAAACAGGGCCAAGCATCCAGAAAAGCTCACATTTTGGCCAGTAGCCCAGTCTTTTCTCCCACTTAGCTCATTGCTGAAGATTAAAACCTGCCTCCACTACTATTTTGTCAAATTCAATAAAAGTAAGGAAGAGTTTTGACTACGGTGGTAAAACATTAGAAAACTAAAAGCAACTTGAACCAGAAGTAAAAAAGCAGGAAAGGGAGAAAGGATAGATTTCCCATCAGAGTCCGCTGGCCCAGCAAGCACAGTGGGAGTAGAAATACAACGGAAGCCCACATAAGCAGCATGAAAGAGCAAGCTATTTTCATGGTTGGATGCACTCTGTCAAAGACATTAGAAAACTTATACTTGCTAAACATAATTTAAAATGCACATTTACTACTAATAACAAATTTCAGTGCACAGACACATTTGTATTTAAAAACCAAAACCATGGTCATTTATCAGAGAGATGCCTCTTACTTCCCTTCTTGGTTTCATGCCTCTGTAGATGTAAGGGGTGCTGCCACAGGTTGCCAAGGGGTGTTCAAATTCGACACGAATGACAGCTCAGCAGAACTGCAGCAGATGATTTTCATACGGTCCCGTGATCACAAACCACATATACTCGACTGAAGGAGTTATAGAGGAGTTCCCCCCCACCCTTGTACCTTCTCTAGGGTGTTTCCCCCCTGCTCTCACAATCATACACTTCACAACTCCACCCTCCTCTCTTCTCCCTGTGTAGTAAAGGACTCTTTTTCATGTTTTTCCTATTTTTGAAACTCTCCTCTTCATTAATTCAATAAGTAACTTTTACCACTGGGTTCAAAATTATTTTCTTAAAAATATTAGTACTTACAAGGTTATACAACAGACGATGTAGCTGTCATGCCAACTTCACTATTTTAAATAAATATGAGGCTAGTTCTGACCTCAGTTAGACAATGGGCATGTTCATAGCTTATTTCGAGCTTGCAAAGCATGGGTAGTGGGGTTCATGACAGTATATAAACTTGTCCACTGAGAGGAGGGAAGCTCTCACTCAAGAACACGTTTTAAAGAAGGTTAAAGAACAGAGCTCCAGCCTATTATCCTGCCTTTCTGGAAGGAAAGAAGGAATCCACTCCACTCCAAAACCATCAGCTGCTTCTATAGTCTTGGATGAACTATGCTTTACAGATACTCTAAATGTATTTATTCCAAGACTTCATAAACTATCTGCAAAAGAAATGCATCTTCTGTGACATTAAACCGTATACACAAAACACGAATGCGTCCTGTCCTTGGGCTGCAACACCTCACAGAAGAGCTCCGTAAGGCTGAAAGTACGTCATTAACAGACAATCAGGATCCCTTTTTCTTCTTCTGTATCGCCTACCAGAGCAGAAATTTAGTGTATTAATAATGCCAGTTTTTATACTCACATTGATGCTACTCTCACCGATACAAACAAAAGTTGCATGCAAACCAGTATGCAGTCCTGAAACTTTTTTGCAAAGTTAATACAGTTTTTCAGTGCAGTACTGCTTTCAACAAATGAGCACACACACTGGTTTAGATCTCCATACAACCAAGTACTCCAAACCAACATGGCTCCTCTTTTTATAAATGGCAAACACTCACCACTTAGAGAAGCCTTAAGAAAGGTCCCAAATTTTTAAGAAACATGTCTACACAGAAGTGGCACACCTACACATCACTTACAGAGATAGTAAAAGCTTACGCACAGACGCGTTGACAAAGGTAGAAGTATCTTTGTAACCATGTCCTATCTGGGAAGCCTATTTCGGTTTACGGCACAACTCTCCTAGATCCCTGTGTCATTCAGAGAACCGATTTAAACTACTCTATTGAAAAAGCAAAACCCCTATAAAACATTTTAAACACGAAATGAGTAAATTATACTAAAAGACAAACATTTTTTGCAAGAAGAGGCATTATTGTTTCTTCTACTCATAGGCTGCTGTATTTTTATACCAATACACTCACTTGTACAATCATTTTAGTTTGTTTTATACCTGTATCAGTGTAATCAGAACAGGAAACCCGAAATTCTGACAAAACCTACAACTAACGTACTCTATTCTCAAGTCAGGCAATGACTGAGATCTGCGAACCCAAGAGCTACAATTCCGATATAGCTTTCACTTTGCATCAAAATGTTAATACTGTCTCAAAACCAGATCTTACACAAAATTGACCACGGACAATAGCTTTTACCAATCTACTATGGAATGAGTAAATCATTATTTACTCATTCCATAGTAGATTGCTAAATGGAAGGAGTAAAACAAAATAAATTTCTAAAACTGAAAATACTTAAGTGTTATACAGATGAGTCTTTTCACCCACGACAAACATCTGGTTTAGGGTAACTGATCATTAAAAATAATATTTTGCTGTAACATAATTATGACTATTAATTATTTCACTTTATAATAAAATGCAAGAATATCTACAAAGGCAGAGTAAAGTGACGTTAACTGTGTTATGAAAACATGTATTATCACTACTTCTTGGCAGGTACTACATCATTGATCATCATGGTAGTATTCATAACAGCAGAGACAACTTTCACTTGGAATTCCTTCTATGAACAAAAGTTCTAAATAAAAAAGTACTAAGCTCACAGTCAAAGACGATGACGCGTCTTAAGTTTACTTTGTCAAATCTAGGAATTTAAGATTTAAATTGCTTCTCTTTTTCAGCCTCCCTAAATCTAGTCCATCAGCTAGACTTAAAAACTGAAAGCTCACTTTTGTATATTGAGACAGCATCCGGTTAGGGGACATTTCATGCTTGATTTTTGTTGGTAAGCTTAAAGCTGTTACAAAACAAATTTTAAAAGAGATCAATTGGTTAAGGAATCAGCATTTAAAAAAAACATTGTCTAAACCAATGAAGAATAAACCTTCCTACAACAGAGTGTAACAACATGAAAAGCATGCTTTCTACATCTTACTCTGACCTTCCAGAAAACAGTATTAAAGCAGCCACCTGGGTGCCCAAAGGCACAGGTAGGGAGCAGCACAGACAAAGACCCAGTAGGGCAGGGAGCAGAAACAGGGAAGATGGCACAAACAGGGCAGCAAAGAATTTAGAGCTTTTCTTTCAAACTGAACAGACTTACTGAAATATTGAGCTAGTTGGTAAAAGGAGCTATGTAACAGCTGGTCTCTGACGGTAGCTGCCTCTCTAAAGATAACTGACTCCCCACAGGAGATGCATACATAGCCTCAGTTAGTCATCTATTCAGCAGAGGATCACACAATTTCACCTCTGCCATGATGCCTCCCCATTTTAGCTTCATTCTCATGCCAATTACTCAAAAGTTTGCACTGCTTTTAAACAGTTTGATTTAGATTACTCTCGGAAGAAGTAGCACCATTAATTTTTCCTCTGCTGGAAATTAAACCAGCTTCAAGCTATGCTGTGCTTCACCATCATGAAACACATTATAGAGACATACACAATGGAAAAGGAAAAAGGTGGAAGAAAATAACAAATGCAGCAAAACAGAGGAAATTAAGGTTTTTCAATTCATGGATTTTAAAGGAAAACATGGAGAAATTAGAACTGCACTAGGAAAACAAAAGAGAAATGCACACCTAACAACTGCAATTGTTATAGCCAAAGAATACAATTTCAGTCTTGCAAGTACAGAGAATTTGAAGCAGGATCCATGCACAGCATAAAACGGAACACAATGACAAGCAGCAGCTATTCAGACTTGTACTACTAAGAGAAGGTTAGCTTCTATTAATTGCATTACTACTTACGCTGCTTACCTATAATTCCACTGTCCTTGCTCTCCAGGGTGGAGCTGGGGCTGCTGATGGTTCCACAGGGACTACCCTTGTTAGCCACGGCTTTGCCAACACAGCTGTTGAGGGTTGAGCAGGGACTGTCCGTGCTGGGGGACGTGGTGCTGCTTGTGAGGGTGGAACAGGGACTCACTCCCTGGCCGGCTACCGTACACTGCCATGCGAAGAAAAAGGAGCTGTTATTGCACAGAAGGCAGCACGCTACTGTGCTGAAAATTAGAAACACCAAGGCGAAGCAGAATGAGAACAAAGCAAAGAGCCCATTTTTCAAGCAAAAACTTCAAGAAGCAGAAGCTTTATCTTGATTTGGAACCTTAACGACATGTTTTCAGATCACTCTGAAAAAATGACTTCTGAAGAAAAAAGGGAATGTCACAGTTCAGCGGGAGAGCTGCAGCGAGGCAGATCTCTATCAAACCTTCTACTGCGCAGCCCTCCCCTCCGCCCCCAGTATTTATTATTTGGGTTAAATCCACTAGAACTGCACTCTTCTTCACATTTCACTATCAGTGAAACCCAAACTGATGCACTAAGATTCGTGAGCCCTGGCACTAAAAGTGGAGAGAAGCAGGGGAAGAGAGAGTGGCAGCTGCTGTGCAGTCCTGGTTAGCAGAGGAGTTTCACATGGACAGTAGCTGCTTGCTTCTCCCCAATTCCTCTGGCCCCAGGTGACAGAAAAAGACTGTCAAATGGAAATGAACTTCTTGGGAAAAACCAAACACACATGCCCCAAAAGCATGCTCCTATTTTAACACACCACTGACATTTTCCATTCTCATAAATCACCGAGAACAGAAGGGAAAAAAAGTTCCTCCTAAATACTCAAATAAGGCAGAGAGAACCCTAGAAACTATTCACATTCATAGTAGATTAAACCTCCAGAAATGAGGAGTCTTTTTTTAAGAATGCAAGATCAACTCACAATTTCAAAACAAACACACACACGCTCCTGTTATAATTCATTCACAACTCCATCACCATATGCCCATTAAAATGGATTGTATTATGGTATCAAGTAACTGCAACTAGCAAACAGAGGAAATAACATTAGCCCTCTCAAGAACAAGATGAACATTAAATATTATTTTTCCATTATCCTACCATGACTTCATTTTTCTCTTCTATATGAGCAGAAGTTGGAATCCCTTCTCCCAGTAAAAAACCCAATCTTGTCATCAGTTCTTGTGCTGCAGGAGAACAGCTCGACTCTTTATCAGGCTTTGCTTTGGAGTGGGGCAAAAAAAGTTGGTGAACATTAGAGTCTTATATTTGGAAACTGTTACAAGATCTAGAGAAAAGTACAATCCAATGTAAATACCAGTTTTTCTGTCAGTAATATATCACACAGAGAAGCTAACGCCATTTAAACTTTTGGTCCATTAGACTTTAAATTGTTGGCGAGTCTTGGATCCTCTGCATATTGGCACAAACTTGGGGAAAAAAAACACCCCACCCTTCCTGTCAAAACAAAAATGGTTAAGTGCAACCAGTTCATCACTGGCCTGATGGTGGACGTGGTTATTCTCCTAACAGCAGCATCAAACTCAACACTGTTAAAGCTCAGCAGCAGACTGAAATTCTGTTCTAGCAATATTCCAGAAAAAGGCCATCCCCACCAGGCCAGACCTTCCCCTCTGCCCTCGGTCTGTCCTTCACAGCTTAGCTCAGCCTGGGGCGTGCCAGGACAGCATCTACTCCCCATGAAGAGCAGACGGTATCTAACCACACAAGACACAGCTGACACTCAGTGGCACTTGCAATAAATAGCACATTTTTCCCCAAGCTGCAGATTGTAAGAAAAACAGAAAACAATTATTTTAACCGAACAGCTTGACCAGGAAGCATTTCTTCAACAATGTTTGAATTTTACGAGCAACGTAAACCCCATGGTTTGCAAACATGGGCAGTTTAGTAGTCAACCATCCTTCTTTATTTCACTCCAGCTCAGTGCCTACTTGAACACACATATTTCTTCATTTTCTGGACAGCTTAAGCTTTTACTTTGGAAGATCGAATTATCTTATTCTCACTTAATCCCAAAAGGAAGAAGTGTCTATGAAATGCAGCCTCTGTTCAGAGCAGATAGTAAAAGTTTTTGTACCTCAGAACATTTTGCAAATTGACAGGTCTTAGAATATTTGACTGGAAAATGTATTTTCTCTTTTGTCATTTTGAGGATTACAATTAATCTTTAAAATTACAATCCTGGAAATTACAGAATTTGTGAAGTCAATACCTTCATTCTTCTATCAAAATCCTAATATTTTTCTGTTTAAATTTTAATCTTTGACAAGTCTGAGTAAATGTTAGGCATAGCACCAAATTCAGTTCAGCAACGGAGATCAAAGCCAAGAGTCTAAGGTGTTCAACCAGCAACCACTGCTCAATCCTTAAACACCAGAGCTTGACCTTCTGCAGCCTGTCTGGAAGAGCACAACTCTGTGAAGAGGAGGATCATCATGAGATGGTCACCTTTAGGGAGGACTACAGGCTGTCCCAGCTGGACATAAAACTTCAATGACAGCACTAAGATGGCTGTGAAGATGAAAGCAGAAGAGGGGCCAGGGTAACTATAACATACCAAATAGAGCATACGGAAGAAGACGGTGAAAATAATTACAATGAGTTCTGTTTCCAGTAGTAAGTATCAAAAATAACAGGCTTTTTAAAAGAGAAAACATTGGCTTTTAGAATTATTGTTTCCTTTAAAATTGAAGCAAAAGGAAAACAAAAGATTGTTTGGCCGGAACCTCATCAGTGACCTGCAATGACTTTAATGAGGTCAATTAACATTCACTGTCAAAGCCACACTCTGTTACACACTAGTCAAATTTAATGAACATGAAACTTTCCAAGAATGCCAACTAATTCTAGGGAGGTAGCTTTTTCCAGCTTTGCCAACACAGGAGTCTACCGTTACTGCCTTCTTGTTTAGCAAGCTTTTACACCATTTCTAAAATGAAGCATTATACCCAGTGCAGAGCTACCCAGCTGGAATCAATTTACATTAAAAACAAATCCAGAAAAATTCTAGCAAGCTTTTGGCATATGTAGTAACCAACAGCACTCGGATGTCATTTTGACTGCAGTACGTGCACAGCTCCAAGAACTGAGACAGTTACAAAGATCACTAAGTATAATGGCAAGCATCCTCTCCTTACCATGAGCATGTTAAATCTGCAAAACATTCTTACAAATAAAGAATCAGATTTCCTTATTACGCAGGCTCCTTTGTATCGCTCTGTCTGAAACGAACAGCTGTTCTACCAAAGTATGGCTGAACAGGCTCTTACCATGTTGACTGGGTTCTCCTTGCTCTGATCCTTTTCTCAGCGGCAGAGCTGCCTCACCTGGCACCCTTGGACTTTCCACATACTTGGGCTTCCTGGTTGGACCTGCAATGGGAATGAGCTGAGTGGATCTCACTTATTCCAGATGGACCGCAAGTTTCTTATGTTTGGTGTCTATCCTCCGCAATGCAAAAAAAGCAGAGGAATTATTTTTTACATACACAGCTGCTACCGTAAAGACTGCTGCACTTCCACTCTTGTGAGAAAGAAACACTCTCTTTGGGCTTTCTGGAATGCAAAGCCTGCTGGAAAACAGAACCAATCTGCTTGCTGTGACAAACCTGAAGAAGCTGCCTGTGTATGGAAAGCCAGGGACTTTTTCATTTTCAAGCTCAGACAACTTTCAGTGGGCCTCCTTCGCTCAGAGCTTTTAGCTTCCATTGTAACAGGAAGATAATTTTGTTATCAGCATCTTTGAAGCTAGGAGAAAAAGACTACAGGCAGACAGCTTGCAACGTTAGCACATTAAATAATTCAAACCCAAAAAGCTTTACATTACGGCGCACTTTCTCCAAATACTGACACATGCCCTGATCATAAGGAATGGTGAAGATGAGTTCAAAAAACAAAAGAAAACATTAGTGGCTACTAATGGTTTCTGGGCTCATCAAACAGTGGCATTCCCAGTTCACACACACACTAAGTGCAAACGTACCACTTTCAGTATTAAGAAGAATTGTGTATTCATACACACGCACACTTTTCAGACATTAAACTGATTCACTCTTTACTCTGGTTTGAGGCTGTTTATGACCTTATTCTTTGCCAAATATGGTTTAGTAGCAACCCCAGGAAAAGTTCAGCCAGACAGCTGTGTTGCTGGTCAGCAAAGCAGCGAACAGAAGGGGAGCAGTGTGGCCTTCTGCAGATTTCCCAGAAAAAGCCCAGCGGCACAACTGAACCAACATCTGCTCGCACTGCACACTGGCTGAAACTCTGATCTGAATTCAGGGACTGGTAGTACTGGCAGGTAGACTGCTATGCTGAGGCACAATAAGCTGTAGAACTGAGCCCACCATATATTTATCCACACTCTGAGAAATATGCCAGCAGCATTTAGTATCAATAAAGGCATCTGCAACGCTAAGAGTTTTGGAAAAGCATGAACAGGGAAACTTGTGAAGTTACACACTGGAAAGCTAAGATGCTTAAAGGGCATGGGGAATGGAGACATCATCATCAGTGGCACTGAAAACACAAAGCCAAATTTTTGTCCTAAATTTTCCTTAAGACAATCCAAATTTCTTGCAACGTGTGTAACAAAGCTACTTGAAACTGTCAAAGTCTTAGTGAGCTTAAGGTGTGGTAGGCGATTCCAATGTTTCAGTTACTCTTGGTACGCGCTTGTGCGTGCTGCACACTGCAAACAACTCCGGTAGGTAGGGCGGCTTCCCTCCTCTCATCCTCCTTCTTGCTAGTATATAACTGGGGACTGCTCCTCAGGCTTTCAACTTCTCCTTTTTCTGGTCTGCCATCTCCCTTGCTAACAAAGTAAACCCGATTCAGAGAGCACTGGAGAGCGACTGTAGGACTGATGCTAACTACACCACATGGCCCTTGATACGGTGGCCTTCTCATCTTCAGTCTGGGTCTTCAAACAGCATTCTTCTGCTTGTCTCAGAATTCAAGGGCACACCAAAATTCGCTAAGACAGCCCACATTTTGTTTATTAGAAAAACACAGCATATTTAGGCTACGACACTTGCATCGTACAAAGTGTCCCATCATTCCTTTTGGCAGCAGTCTCAGTTGCTACACTAAGTCTCTGAAAATGACACTGATTCCTTGCTCGCTTTCATGAGTGCTTTAAGGCTGGCGACTGCTTCTACAGACAAGCTGCAACCCCCTCCACCTTGGCCTGGGGCGGCCCACGGCAGCACGCTGCCCCATCACACCGCAGCGTCACAGGCCCACGCACGTTATGCCCCGGGTATGATCTGCTTCGACAAGAGCACTGCGGCACTTTGTTATTGGACTGACTTGTTCTTTCAGATCTCCACCTAGAAGTGGAATATGGGAATGGAATGCTAACCTAATTTCTTAGTTAGGAAATACTGGGCAGGGAACGTAAGTCATATATGAATGCATGTTTGTATCTCTACCTAGAGACTACGGGGCGATTACATTTTTTCAATAAAAGCTAGCTTCGTTAACAACTATCACCAGAGGGTGCTCTCTCAACACTATTTCGTAACAAAAACAAGGGCCATTGGCCCTGGTGAAAGCAGCTATATACACACTCCTTTGAAACAAAATCACATTCTTTAAGGAGACAATAGTCCAAATCTGTCATTTGTAAGCAGAAGTATAACTAGATGTATCAAAGTTGAATAACAAAAGAGCAACCATTCTAAAAGAACCATGTAGCAGTCATATAAAATAGATCAGAATGGAAGTATCTTCAGGATCTATTTTTAACACTCACGCTTTTAAGCTGTGGGGGAGACCCTTTATTGACTTTTCTTCCTCACAAAGTAACGCGGAAGTGACTTACAGCACTTGCAGATCTGATACACGACCCTGCAATGACTACGAAAATTCATGTTAAGTTTGTTTTCATGCCCTGATCGAGAACAGGACACACGAATTAATCTGTGGATGAAAAAGGACCCTTTAAACGTGAACTGTATCTGCACCGTGGAGGCTCTTTCCCAGAAGTGTCGGACGGCTGACTCGGGTCTGACACAAGGTTCACCTGGGACAGTATTTTACCAGCAGCAAATGGCAGAGAAGAATCTAAGTTAGGGAAAACATACTTCCCTGGCACACTGTCCCTGACTGGCATTAAGTGGCTTGTCACTTCCTGAGTCAGCAGCGGTTACCTGCTATTTGAGAGTTCTAGATGGATTTTCCTTCCAAGACTTTACCCTGGTGTTTCTTTAACAATCTGCACCATCCCCAAGTTAACCCAACACTGCACGAAATGGTAATCAGACCGACTCCTTCTCCCACCCATTGTCTTTCTTCCAGGCAGGAAAATATCAGGCAAATCTTTTGAAAGAATTTCTTCTTCAGAGCCACTCCACACTTGGCAGTCACTCCCACAGCCCCTCTCTAGCTCTTTCCCAGCTCTGCCGTAGACTTTTAAAGCTGGTACCACCAGAGCTACACCAGTATCTTCCTGAGAGAGACAACTACAGATTTACACAATCCTGTAACAACACTTCTTTTTGCTTGTTTATGTGCTATTGCTTTCCTACTAATTTTTAATGCTTTTTCGACTGCAGAAGAGGTGATTTTCCAGAAGATTACTGTAACTTGTGCATCTCCTTCCTAATCCTCTGAACTGGGTCTCCCTCCCACCAGTGTTCAACAAATCCGTATCCGTATTGATACCGGGGACTTCCCCGACCCAGGCACAGGACCTTGCACTTGGGTAGCGTATTGCATGCAAGAGGAACCGCTCCCAGTGTTCTCACGATCAGTGCACAAAACTGAAGCCTTAGGTGAAACCGGTTCTCTTACCTAGTCTAGTCTCAAGCATCAGGTATGCCAATTAATTTGTTTATTAACTAAAAGCTTTAATTAAATTTTAATTTAAAAACTAACTAAAAGTCCTATCGCACACTACGTAAGACTCTTCCAGCAGTCATCTTCGGCATTCACTGACGTCTTTAAAAGGAAAGCTGCTTCCTTTGTCTGTTCAAGCGTGATGGTATCAATAATTTACATCCGTAAACACTTAACTCAAGGGCAGCAGCAGTATCTTTCATTCACACCTTAAACTCCAACAACCAATTTTTTGGAACCACCTTTACAAAACAGTATTTTGATTCATTTAGTTGACCCTCCTAAATCCGAGTGCAATCAACTACTAACCCTTTAAGAACACGAACATTGGCTCAATTACACCTGTAAGATACCAACCCAAGCAATCTTCATTCTAGCTTTACAGCAGAAGAAACTCCACTTCCTGTGACAGTTTTCCATTTGCTGCTCCCCTTTGCAGGGTTGTCCTGCTCACAATCTTCTCCTTGTCCTGTATGTTTCTGCTCTTTATCCACCTCCTGCTAAATGAACTATTTCATTAAAGAAGCTTTTGACTCCAAATGAATTGGTCACTTTAGTTCTGCGAATAATTTTAAGCTCTTTAGTAATTTAAGATACAGTTTTTCTCTCCCCTCCTCCTACAGAGTTGAGGACTAAACTGCAGTCAGAAGCACTGGTACTCTTCAAGCTCTTCTCACAAAGAAAAAGCTCCCCGGCACCCTACGCAAATAATTAAAACACAATGTCACTGACAGCAGATTGCGTAAATGGGACTGTGCAGCTTTCTGTGTTCCAGTGAAGAAGTTCAGCTTGCTCTCGTGTGGTTTTCCCTGCCCATGAGACAGTCGTGGCTGAGCTACTCGCAGATGGATGGGCCAAAGAGCAGCTATGGCCACACATGCACTGCAGCAAGGCTGCCTCTCTCAGCTGGGTACGTTTGTCACCATGCCTGTCCACTGTGACAAAACACCACCACTGCCAACAGTGCTAACACACTAGTCTCCTAGCATATGAGGACCGACCAGTTCAGTCTCAAGCCTGAACCTAGAGGCGTAGCGGATGAGAGAAATGAAATGAGAAGCAGGATCTCAGAGATCAGGACAGCAGTCTTGGAGCGACACCAAAACCAGAAAGTCCTGTGTTGGTCCAGGGAGTCCCCAGGCTCGCAGTTTCCAAACCTGTTCTGAACAGTTACCTCTAACTTGCTAAACATTAAGGTACCTAAGCACTTTTCTCAGTGAGATGAGTCCAAACCTGAGAACTGACAATTACACTATTCATGGAACAAATATGCCTATGATGGAACAGAATCCTCTTAGTCTAAAGGGACAGAACGAAAACACCATGCCCCCCACAGTACTAATCCGTACTGGCAACAGCACTCTATTCTCTGAGTCATCTGGAGTAGAAAACTACAAAGAGGTATACAACATTCACAGGGAAAATCATTCCAAGCATAACATCCTTTTCCTACAATTGCATTTTTAATTAAAAAAAAAAAAAAAAAAAAAAAGCTGAAAAAAACCCTGAAGCAACCTAGAAGTAAATTAACCTTCAAAATTAGCATATACTTACACGGGTAAGCAGTGCCTGAGAGAAAGGAGGAAAAAAGTACTATTCCATTAATTTAAATTACAAATCAATTTTTCTGTTTGGATTTATACTCAATTGAACATAAATTTGCAAACTGGCCTGATATTTTGTTTGTTGTTGTTATGCTGTTTTCCATATGGTACTATTGCTAACAGATACAGTAAGTCACCAAAATTTACTAAGATGTTAAAAATGTTTGCAATATCTTTTGCTTAACAAGACACAGTCAAAGAATTTAGCCGTGTGATATGGAGAAGGCTGAGGTACTCGACGACTTTTTTGCCTTAGCCTTCACTGGCAAGTGCTCCAGCCACACCGCCCAAGTTGCAGGAGGGAAAGGTAGGGACTGGGAGAATGAAGAACCACCCAGCGCAGAAGAAGATCAGGTTCAAGACCATGTAAGGTCCCTGAAGATGCACAAGTCCATGAGACCTGATGAGGTGTGCATCCACAGGTCCTGGGGGAACTGCCGCATGAAGTTGCTAAGCCACTCTCCATCATATTTGAGAAGTCATGGCATTCCCACTGACTGGAAAAGGGGAAACAACCCCCATTCTTAAAAGGGGTGAAAAGGAAGACCTGGGGATCTACAGGCCAGTCAGTCTCACCTCTGTGCCTGGCAAGGTCTGCTGATCCTCCTGGCAACTGTGCCAAGGCACATGGAAAATGAGGAGGTGACTGGTGACAGCCAGCATGGCTTCACTAGGAGCAAACTGTGCCTGACAAATTTGGTGGCCTTCCACAAAGGGGTTACAGCCTTGGTGGATAAGGGAAGAGCAGCTGATGTCGTCTAGCTGGACTTGAGCAATGCATTAGACACTGTCCTGCATGACATTCTTGTCTCTAGATTGGAGTGACATGGATTTCACGGATGGACCTCTCGGTGGATATGGAATTGGCTGGATGGTCTCACTCAGAGAGTTGTAGTCAATGGCTGAATGTCCAAGTGGAGACCAGTGACGAGTGGTGTTCCTCAGGGGTCAGTCCAGTCCAAACCATTCCATAATTCTATTCTGTGATCCCCTTTTTTAAAAATGTGACTGCAGACAGCCATGCTGTGTGGTTATATGTAGTCTGGTGGTCGAATCATTACCCAAGCACAAACACAGGCTGGGCAGAGAACGGATTGAGAGCAGCCCTGAGGAGAAGGACTTGGGGGTGCTGGGGGCCGAGAAGCTCAACATGACCCAGCAATGTGTGCTGGCAGCCCTGAAGGCCAACCATGCCCTGGGCTGCATCCCCAGCAGCGTGGGCACAGGGCGAGGGAGGGTCTTCTGCCCCTTTGCCCCGGTCTGTTGAGACCCCCTGGGAGCCCCGTGTCCAGCTCTGGGGCCCTCAGCACAGGACAGACCTGGAGCTGTGGGAGCGAATAGTGTTGGAGTGAATACTGTTTTTTCAATAGTTTTATGTGATGGATAACCAGATTGCAAGTGGATGAAGCAACTGTAGAAGGAAAAGGTTTGCTGAAGTCCTACTCAAAATGCTGACACATTTTAAAGAAATGACAATGCATAGAAATACTTGCTGCTCAGGTGGTAGTGAAGATAAGCAAAGAGGTGAAATTAGAACAAAAAACAAAAGCAAAACTACCCCTCTGAAGCCAGAGATTAACACCTACTTGGAAATATGCAGAAAGGGCAATGAAAGGAAAAGCAGTATGAACAACTTGCCACTTCATTCATTTACATTGAAGATTTTTCTGGTTTGGACATCACCAACTAGAGGCTAATTCTGTGAAAGATTTTTAATGTCAATACCAGCTACACAAAAACTTAAAACATTTTACAGTGCAATTCTTACTGCAAAATGTTCTTCCATGCAGCAGTTTAAAATTATTTAACCAGGAAAAAACTTTTTTATTCACTGATCATTTAAGCATCATTAAGTAGGTATTTTTAAATCAGCAAATATAGATGCAGGACTAGGTATATGTAAACTACAGACAAATTTGCTAGAAAAGTGGGGAACGTACTGAGTATGAAGCCCTCAAATATAGATGTTTTCATGAACATCAGTGCAAATAACTATTGGTTAACTAGAACTTAGAGTTTTCAATTTATAACTCTCCAACACACTGTCAGGAAAACCTCACTGTTTTTAATTTACTAACCAAAACTTTAAAACTAAATCTACTCAGACTCAGTAAAAAGTTATCAAAAACTCTTCATTAAAACCTGGGCAGCATTTAGTGAATATACTCCTTAAACATTACCACTGAGCATACACAGAGTACATTGCTTCAGTCTAGTAGACACTAAACAGAATCTTATTTCAAGGAAATAAGTTACACAAGGGTATCACCTTATATATATTACCATCAACTTGCCTGGGTTATAAGCACAGAAACACAGCAGAGAAACAAAGGTAGAAGAAACAATTACATGTCAAGGGACAATCTCTTCCTCTGCTCTCTTACACAGTTTCAAAGACTTTAAAAACTATTAATGATATGATTTACATTGAAAAATACATCTCTAAGTAGTTGCTTGGTCTTCACTATCTTCAAACTGAGAGGACTGAAATTAGAATTTTTTTCTACCACTGGTTAGATAACTTCATCAGTGTATCTGAACTTCAGAATACTACTTTAACTTTCCGTGCAATCCTTTCTTCTTTCATTCACTGTACCCTGAAAAAGCTTTCACTTGCTGTTTTTAAGTTACTACAACAGAGTGCTTTGAAATCAGCACATTAGTACTCTCTGTTTTCATTACTCCTGCACCAGATGCTAGACAGATGATTTGTATTAAATCATCTTCCATCAGCTACACTTTGTTGAAAGTCAAAGGAATAGCATGGAATGTTTCCCCCAGCATCCTCTCACCTGGTTAGGTATTTGTACAAAATAACGATCCATAAATGCCAATGCATTCACAGCACTTCACAAACTTAAGATAGGTTTTTCTTCGGCTATGTATCATGATGGAATAATGTCATCATGGAATTCATTGTGAATATGGCTTTTCGTTCAAAATCTATCAACCGTCATACATTTTCTGCAAGAGAAACAGTCTGCAGCCTACACTCCGATTATAAAAATGAATCGGAACACGGAACTAAACCACGGACTTGGTATGTTGCTAAGATATTATCTCAAAGGTACCTAGAACGCAGTTAAGTTTTCCCAGCAGTAACAAAACGAAGAGTTAGATCCTGACCTTCACTTTAGTCTTTGGCAAAAATCCCATTTCCTTCTACATTACACGACTTCACTCTTATCTTTAACATTGTTTAGCATGCAGATCACTTGTGGTAAGAGACAAAACAACAAAATACCATTCTGTGGCTCAAAATTTCTATATGAATTGTAAACCAACTCAATTTAAACATGAAGTGAGATCATTATTTTCAAATTTTGAAAGGAAAAAATAAATATTGATAAGCAGCTTAAACCAGTAACACATTTTACAAATTGTATTTACTGCCCTGAGGCAATTCTTTGAGCAAGAATTTTTCTTTAATTTCATGTAAAATGGGTCGTTAACCAAGACATTTCTCAGTTCTGACAAAAACCAACTTTCAACACTGTTTGTTCCTACACCTTATAAACTTTACAACAAAGAATCTCAGAGCTGTTGAGTGTCTCCACAAGTAACAGGAGTATGGACGATTTCACTTGACACTCAGGCTTTGACCTGAATGAACCCAAGTGATGTTAGCATGTTGGAATGATTTATATGTGCAGAATGCTGATAAAAAGGGAAACAGATGGAACACCTTCTTTAGCAAGGCTCACACGTAAGTATGCAGTCATTACTAAGGACACAACTGCTAAAATTAACAACTTTCTTGCCACAACTTCAGCAGCAATTTATCTATTAATACATCTATGCATGCAGATACAAGTAAAACAAATGAACTGCAAAAGCCACAAACAACATTCACTCTTACACAGTCACCAACACATGCATTAAACGAAGGTTTTTGCAGCGGTCTTCTACCTAACTGATATACTAACCATAAATAACCAGTTTTGAACATGCTCAGACATTTCATTATAGGTATCTGCAACATCAGTTAGAATAATTCTTTGCCATATGAAATAATTTTTTCTGTTTAATCGCCAATTACCTTTTTTTCCCCTGGGAACATTTAAAAAGCATTCATCGTTCTTGTTCTTACGGCAAAAGATTAACATGACTTTACTGTGTCATTTTTATATAAAGGGTATCAAAAATTGAGCTAAAGTGCTATTGAGAATTCAGTTGCTCATCAGTTTCATTTTACCTGGAGACTTTTTGTTCGATCTTGACTGCATCAGATAGGACTGGCGTGGCAGCAGAGGCGAAGACGGCAGCGACACTGAGACTCCTTTAGCCAGGTTCATTCTGTAAGTGTCCTCCGAGACTGGCTGATCGTCAGTGGGAAAATCTGCATTGTGGCCAGATGTTGCAATAACCTGCAAGGCATTCTCTGGGCAGGAGTCACCTGCTAAAAATTAAATTTTGTCATCCGTTATGTGATATACCAAAACAAAAAGCTTACAGTTCAACTGAAATACCAGTATTTAAACACAGGAAAACATATCTGCCAGCAACAATTCAGCATGACTGGTCTTACGGTGTACCCTCTACTGCAGAATCCACTAGAAATTTCAAAAATTTGAAATTCACACAAGTAAGCAAGATTTCATTTTACTGTAATAGAGCCAGCAAGGGGTAAGAAAAACCTCACTTTCAACAAAGTAAGTATTTTTCAGATTTCGTCCTTAGAGGTAAAACCATGTTTCCTATGAAGATAAAACTATTTTTTACAGCTGAAAAGGTATTTTAGGATCACTGTGATATCCTGAAAGTTAAGGCCACCTGAAGATACTATTTACTGAACTAGTCAAAGGAGAAATTTAGTTGAGTTACCACTTACACTTAATTAAAAGGCGGATCACAAAAAGGTACACTCAAAGATGGCCAGCTTAACCTTTATTTAAATCAGTTTTTCTGATTTAAAACTGAGAAGTCCAGTGATGTGTAATTTGACAGCAACAGTGATTTTTTTATCTAAGGAAAAAACAGTATTTGTGAAACAATAGCTTAAGTGGCACATCAAAACAGTGAAATACACTCAAAATAGAGAAATTTCTTGCTGGTGCAGGAAACACAATTTCAGCTAAATCAAGAACTTATTTTCAAAACAACAGAAAAATACATTGCTCACAGTAATGATTCAAAGACAGCAGAAATACATGTTGAAAGTGCGAGGTTTCTCCCAGTCAGATGACAGAAACAGAGCTGAAAAACAAATGTTAACAACTAACTACAGCTTTTTTAATATCTAAATTAGAGTATCGCTCACCAATTTACAAGAACTACTGTTGAAATTGAATTGGTATGACCAAAGTTAAAAAAAGCAAAACAACCTGATGCAAAGAGGAAGGAGAGTGCCAGAACATTTTCTAGAGAATTCCGTACGCGACAAGCAGCATAGCTGAACTACTGGAACCCAAAGTACAACTGGCAGAGAAGACAAACAAAGGAGTAGTATCTCTTCAAATGTGAATCCCTCCTAGCAGGTTTATTTTCTTGAAGTAGGGAAACACTTCAGAGAAACGTGGCTCTCCAAGATCTGCATTTCTTGTTCATTCTGTTGACACCCAACTGCTGCCTTCAATTTTTCACAGCTGTTCTCCTGCCACATTCCACTACAGGCAGCACTAACTGCACACAATGAACTTCCACACTCTGTCAGAAGGAAAAACCAAACCCAGCCCTTTGAGAAGAGTAAAAATGTTTTTCTCAATTTAACTACCGTTCTGCTTTTTTAAAAGTATGCATGGAAGATACGAAAAGCGAACATGCCTGAACATTAAAGTCTAATTCCCTACTTCCAAAGGTGCCTGTATTTCTGATTATTTGGGGTTTTTTTCCTAGCCATACTTCTTTCCTCACAAGAACCGCACAGCAGGGCTACGCGTATCTATTTGTAAGATAAATGACCTTGACGAATGCTATGCTAGATTCAAACTTTTCTTAACGTTTCCGAACTGTAGAACTTACTCTCTTATTCCTCTGAAACCAACTAAACTATCACCTTCCAAAAGTTCTCTTCTCTGTTCAAACGAAATTAACAGTAACAGGTAATGATTTCCAGGAAACAGCTCTAGTCTCATCAAGTCAAGATGGAAATTAAAATCTAAATAACTGTAACTTTATATTCTTTTTTGAAGCCCACTGCAACTATTCCAGGAGTATAACTATTGGTTTTAAATCCTGGGAACTAGAAACGCAGCTTCAATGCTTCAGCAAGCTAGCTGTAACACACCGTTCTTAGAAAAAATACACTCTAAGTATATGTTTAAAATAAAAATATTAATATTTTAGATACTATAATCACATAAGAGACTTTTTTGAAACACCAAGATATCTAAATTACTGAGTTCCCATTCACTTTCAGTGGAAATCAAGGGGCTGAGGATTTTCTTTTTCTGTTCTTTTAGAAATTAAACTTTCACAATAGCTGTTTTTAAACACAGATTTAACATTGGGTATGTTGTTATTTATTATTCAACTCAGTACACGTCAGTTTGCTTCAGAAGTTGTTTAAGAATGTAGAGAGAAACTTGTTGTGATACTCCATTTTTCCCTTTGAACACAAGCAAAAATCAAGAACTTAGCATGGTAATGCAGCTAACTACAATTAGACAATACTGGCATTCTTGTTAAGAGTGTTTTACTGGATACGTTGCCAAGGTTGTAATTTGGAATTTGGGTAGGTATTCCCGCTGAAATGCTAGTGAGAGGGTGCAAGAGACAAGAGAACAACAAACAAAAAATACCTCCCCCCCTTCAGGGTTAGTAAGTCCACCTACAGTTCCCTAATTTCCATTTTCCCTTTTACTATGATGCAAAAAATCATTGTTTAATTCATTGTCTTCTCAGCAGACTCCTGAATTAATTTTAATTTATCCTGCTCTATTATACATGAAACATTACACCACAGAAGAGAGCTAGATGGGACTCAATACAGTGCTGGCATGACTCTAATCAGTCAGTTTAGACTATTTGATCATGACAGTAATTTCAAACATATTTTACAGTCCATATATATACACCACTGTATCTTAGCAATTTTTGTTACAGCTGTACTCCATTTTTTCTTATTATTATATTTTCCTGACAGCACTGCAGATCTGCTGGGAGAGGTACAAAGAGGTACAAAGATCAGACTCGGATTCTAAGAGCAGTATGACTTAAAAACAAAAATCCAGAATGTGTACCATAGAAATTCTCCTTTTCAATCACTTATTTTCCCGATTTTACAACAAGCTTTTGCTCATCGTCACTTCTATATCCATGCTGTTAAAATGCAATAGCTCTCTAGAGCAAAAATTCGCACCTTGAGAAAACCCAACCACACTGGCTTCAACCTATGAGGACATCATACTCTCAGTGATGTTGGAACATGTTTAAACTGTAACGTATTCTACTGAGGCAAAAAAAAGCATGTTATAAGTGAAAAATGTTTAGGATACTACGCAATAGCAGACAGCTAGTAGACACAAATTCCAAGAAAGCAGAAACTGCACAGTTGCTCACCCAGGACCTTTCTAAAAAACCTGTTAACTGAATGAAACAGTAGCGAACTGACCAATCTCACATTTGCGACCTCAAAAAACACAGAAGAGGAATAGAAGGGAACCAGCAGAACTCGCACCCCACACCCTCCGAATACTGTCCCAGCCACAGGCACAAACCAGATCTTCTGCCAGGAGGACAACTCCCCACAGTCCCCCGTGATCCACGAAGAACTCCAACAGCAATACACAGCCAACAGAAACCTGTGACATTTGAACGCTACAAGCGCACGTGGACTCCAGGGGCTGTTCACGGGGACATGATCTGTTAACGGCAACTGAAAGCTGCTTTCAGCTCGGGAAGTCCTCAAGCCCACCACAGTTAGAGTCTGGCACCAGGGTCAGCAGGACAGCTGCTTGCTCTGCTGTCTCCCTTCCCTACGCACCGCCTCAGGGTTTTTCTTCCCACCGGCTTTCTCCCTAACAGAAGTAAGGACACTCTCACCCCTCAGAAGGGAGCAAGAGGTAAAGAAACAGGGTGCGAGGGCACAAAGAAGGAAGTGTGTAGGAAGGCGGAACTGGGCAGAAGATCTGGAAATACACCTTGTCTCTAGCTGGTGCTAGGATGAGGCT